GGCCAATCAAATTTTCTTTTTTGTGTGATATGATCGACGAAAATCATTACCAATTATACGAATGTCCACCATGCTATTCAATAGGAAACTCGGATTGCATGCTCACAATATAGTGGAATTAAAACAGGTTTATAGACAGGGGAGCCTGGTAAATAATAATTGTTAATAGTAAATGTTTATAAATATTTTTTTAAAATAATTTAATAATCTCTTTTTTAGAATTTATTAATTTGTTAAATGAAATCAGAATTGGTGTTGTATCTGAAAATACTTTGAAAATAATGGGTGAGTTAAAGACAACTCAACAATATACTGATAATAGAATCAAATTACTGAATTGTAAGTTGATCTTTACCATAATAATATTGTTATATATTGATATACTAATATAATATTTTATTTATTTATAATAAATACTACAAAAGATATTCAACTAATTCTGAAGTATGGTTGCTTGCCAAAACTCCTCTGAAAATCAATTGGCAGAGTTTTGGCAGGTAACACACTAATTGTTTGTTAGAGTTTTGGCAGAGTTTTGCATTTAGGATTTTGACAATTAGCAGAGTTTCAGCAGGTTACACACTAATTGTTTATTAGAGTTTCAGCAGAGTTTCAGCAGTCATTAAGAGGTTTCAGCAAGCAACCTTATTCTGAAGTAACTGAAGCTAATAGAAGATATTTAAGTCAAATTAGATCTAAAGAATATACATTTGAAGCTAGAGATTACCAGCCATCACAAATAGGAAAACTAAAAGAATTAGTATGTAACTGTTTGGCACCAAACATATTACATTTAAAACGTGGAGCAAAAGTAATGCTCATCAGAAGCTTGAAAAGAAATTTAGTAAATGGAAGCAGAGGTGTTGTAATTGAATTTCACGCACTATCCAAAGACAAGAGCTATTATAATAGTGAAGAGGAGGAATTGGAACTAAAAGATTTAGTTCCTATTGTCAAATTCAATGAGAACAAGCAAGAAATAATATGTGCAGTTGAATGGAGAATAGAAACTGATGGGTTTATACTAGCAAGCTGCAAACAGGTGTATATCTATAATTCATACATATATAATATGTATTATGGGATGTCTTTATTAATTTTTAATTTAATGGATGATAGGTACCTCTTGTACTTGCATGGGCAATTAGTATTCATAAAAGTCAAGGACAGACTTTAAAGAGAGTGAAAATTGACCTTAAAAATGTTTTCGAGAAAGGTTTATATTTATTAATATTATTAAAACATTTTTTGGTTATTAAAATTAAAAATAATCACAATAATATATATTAATATTTTTATAAAAAATAGGGCAGGCATATGTAGCACTTTCACGTGCAAGTTCTTTAAAGTCACTACAAGTTTTAAACTTCTCCAGTGAAAAAATAATGGTTAACAATAAAGTAAAGCAGGGTTGGCAAATGTGCAGTCTATTGATGGTCTATTGGTGGTCCATTGGGTCCATTAGTGTAACACTTTAACCATATTTAGTATTTTATTAATGGCAATGGACCAGTCCAAAATCCATCTGTTCTCAATGGACCAGTCAATTTGCCAACCCTGAAGTAAAGGACTTTTACAAATGCTTGACAGAAGGTTAATTGTTAATTTTTGTTTAAAAAAATTAACTCTTTTTTAATATAGTAATTAATTATCAATCTTATTTAAAACTAACAGGTAAATTCAAAGATGATAGTGGTAATATTGCTGGACAGAATTCTGATGATAATGACAACAATTGCAATAACAAAGAAAACCTTAATAATGGAAAAATTCTACTTGTTGAAAAATTTCAAAAAGCAATATTGGATATTTGTTCTCAAAATGTTGACAAGATACTTGATATGATATTGACATTGGGTGCTAGAGAAAGAACATTATGTTACTTTAATGCTGAATGTTTGAATAAAAAAATTTATGAAGCAATTGAGGCATTGGAAGCTGAGAATATTTATTCTTCAACCTTAATTCATAAAAATTCTATCAACTGAAGTAACTACTGATTCTGTAAATATTAGTCATGTGCCATTAACTTAAAGATATTAAATTGTATTGGTTAAAAAAAATTAATTAAAGCAGGTTCATGTTATTATTATTTAAAACATTATTAGTATAATTTTTCGAGACTAATTTTTATTCATTAAAAGAAGTATTATTTTTAAATCTAAGTGACTAAAAGGAATATATTTGTTAATTAAAATCACCTATTACTATTCTTTAATTATATCATCTTAAAACTATGTTAATATATATGGGGCATGCTGCAACAAAACCAGACAAAGTGAACATTGGTATTACCAAAGATTTCAGGGGTCAAAATTTAGTAATGTGATTATTATTAAAATCTTCCATTTGTTACCCTCTTAATATTAGGTGATATATAGAATTACCTCTATATAAAAATAGTTAAT